AAATTTACCAGTAAAAAAATTCATTCATCACCATATTTATACGAACGCACAACTTTTAAAAAATTTAAAATCAAACTCAGCGTTGCTACTGCGCACTCCAAAAACAATAACTCATTTTCAATAGCATTTTCGGATACAACAATACATATATTTTCGTTGTCCTCTTATTACTAAGAGAAAAAACAACATCTATTCTATACCTGAAGATGTCTGTAGGAACAGATGAAAGCTTGTAGTAAAAATAAGAACTAATACGGCAGAAATTTATGGAAACAAGGATCAATTCATTCATAACGGATACGGAGGTTTTTGTATATTATTTGAATTGTTTGCAATGATGGATTTCTCGCCAATTAAATCATTAACCTTTGCTTTTGTTTTTGTGTGAATAATTCATGAATTTGTAAATTGATTGCACATTTATTGTAATATATATATATATATATATATATATATATATATATATATATTCATACATGTTTCATTAAATAATATAGACAAGTGTTGTCAATTTATTTTATGTAAATTCTTTTCATAACGTCTGATAAGTTTAATAACATTATCATTGAACGAAGAAAGAAATTCACAATATTGATCCATATTTTTAAATCCTATCTAAGCTTTCGGCTTACATAAGCCATTATCAAAGATGTCCATTACAACATATTAAGCAATATATGGACAAGACAGTGATGATAGTCTGTGAATGTTTACTTGGATGATTTCCTAGCAACGATAAACACGTGCATATAAGACGCTGGAAGTGAAAATAGCACTGTATCTCATGACGTCACACATGACCACACGAGAGTGAATTGGAGATGTATGAAGTATAGGAATCCGTTGGTAAAAACCAATCGCTTCTGTTACCAATTATAGACACTTAAAGATATTTGTAGAGATTCCATAGTTGATTTTGTTTAGGTTGGGTTTCAACTGTTTGATGTATAATGCTTCAAGGATTTTTAGTTTTTGTCTATTGTTTTCATTTCGAAGTATAATTGTGTTTTCGACAAGTATTTTATGGAATTGTGTGCGGGCAGGCATGTTTTACAATTCAAAACATGCCTGCCCACACACACAATTACATAAAATATGACATGAAAACAAATCAATCCGTACATTTTTTTACTTTATAAATGTGTAAGCAAACAAGAGAAACAATACAAAAATAATTTTCATTTAACTGTAAAATACAAAAGCAATTGAGATCTTTATATAGTGAAAGTTGAAATTATACAGCAAGAGTTATTTCCCTTTAACTGTTATTCAAATTAGCTGCAACTTTAAGGAAAAAAATTTTTTATCTGGACTCGCAGAAAAGATTTCAGCTCATGAAAGAATAGTAAGTTTCAATGGAAAGAATGTGCTTGGATAAGAAGGTGTTGTAGGTTGAAATTCGGTATAAGATGAGTTCAAAGAAACTTGTTGAGTGAGAGAAAATTGTCGTCTTCACTTGCAATTTGTGTTTTGTACTAAAATGTAATTTTTAGTTTTTAAAATTCTGAATAAAATTTAGCATAAGTTGAAGTAACTTGCCACATAAGTTGTTCACTGAAGAGAGTTGAATATATTTCTGTTGCTTGTAGTTGAAGAAGGGGATGAGTTCAGAGATGTGCAATGTTCATACGTACATGTGTGCGCATGTTTGTGTGTGTGTGTCTGCCATAGCATCTTCCCATCAGGGACAAATGCAACCTTTCTCTACTGGACTACATGGTTGGTAGGCAAGAGGAGCAAAAAGAGGAAGAGTGAAGATTTGAAGATTTACTACATATTTATAACCAATATGGTCACATGATAGGCTCCAGAGAGCATTTCTGATTTTGGGTGGAAAATGGTTTTGAATAATGTGTAGGTGTTGTTGCCAATTTGAGAAATGTAAGTGAGAACACAATATTAGGATTAATTGACCAATGAGGAGACAGAGAAATAGTGTGTTAGCATTTTAACTCTGTGATCCACTTTTTTCACAGATTTGGTCAATCACAGTGCTGTTATGTAGGAAATGTATTGAAATCTTTTTTAACCAATGGAATTAGTTAGATCACAAATGAAATATTTTTAAATTGAGGTAGGACACTAAGAGCTGTTTCCAGCATTTATAGGAGAAAGCACAATACATCTATAAACTATATCTCTAAAAGAAAATACATCTATAAACTATATCTCTAAAAGAAAATACATCTATAAACTACATCTCTAAAAGAAAATGTTTACCGCAAAAGTATAAATTGTGTACAAAACATCTGTGATTGAAGCTATAAAGTTGCATACAAAATATTTGGATTTCAGCATTGAGTGGACCATGGAGGTTGTCATGCTGCTGAACAAAATCAACCAATGAACTGTTTCAGCATGAACGATACATAGCAATTGATATGCCAGTTAAATAATCTCTCTCTCATTCAAGAAACTGGTCAAAAGGGAAAAAGAAACAATTTTTGTAAAACACATCAATAATTTTGGGGATATAAAATTTTGGATTCACATTTTACTAGCAGTAGAGCCCGGCATTGCCCTGGGATATAACAGTAAGAGATAGATCAAGTATTGACCATCATAAAGACTGAAAAATAAAATTGACAAAGATTATTGTTTAAGGTTGACGGACACGCATGTCTTAATTAGTTTTTTTTTGTTTTGTTTTTTTTTTTACGAATTGGTCAAACTCAAACAAAAACATTGTCTTCAATCGTTATGAGTCTACCGATTGAATAGAATTTTTCAATTTTATTATAAACAATTGTCTTGTAAATGGAATTTTAAAAGCATTCTGAATGTAAAAATAAAGAAAAACGTGTGGAAGACAATAAGAAACACTACCTGCCCAAAAAAGGTGAAGTTTTGTTGAAATTGGTTGAAAAATGTAGGAAATCCGATCCCATATATAAATGAACACACACACACACAAACAACTTGGGTTTTATAATAAGTATAACTCAATATGAGTTGTCCCCCTTTCATTCTCGAAACAGCGATGCCTCTTAATTGTGTTTTCAAATTAATTTTGTGCAAAAACAATTGTGTTTTTCCAATTTTTGGCACTGTCAGAACCACCGCAAGGTAATTTTATGTAGTCCTGTGAAGTTTTGTTGAAATCGGTTGAAAAATGTAGGAAATCCGATCCAATATATAAACGAACAGACACACACACACACACACAACCTGGGTTTTATAATAAGTATGATCTGCCTTTTTCTTTTTACTTTATGAATGACCTGAATATTTCTAGAACGGCAAATTTTCCCACCCTCAACCTTCCATGATCTTTCTTATCTGTGAATTGCCATGATTGTTCTCCTTTTCACATATTTCATTTGAATTATAAACTTTAGATGTATTATAATGAATATTGTATTTTTTATGCCATGACACCTGAAAACTTGATCACGGCTCTCCACAGTTTCTTTCCTTTAATATCTATGAATTACCATAACTTCTTTAGAAAGATAATAGTTTCCCATTGCCTTCTTCCCAGTTTTTGAATTTGTCTTTCTCTTAAACTGGTTGCCATTGAAGGCTAGAGAGTGCTGTCTACCCTACTATTTAACCCATAATTCAGAGAAGAAGAAACAGATTTATGCCTATCCCAAGGGCATTTGTGTAAAAATGAATGCTACAGATTAACCAGGCATTTGAACTTGGTTCATTGATTTCACTTTGTAGGAATCCTTTGACTCAGTTTTTCATTGAATGTTAAAATTTGGAGCATCAGAATTCAATACAATAGTGAAATATTGTTGCAGGGTTGCTCATAATTCGGCCATTTAGAATAATCACATGATTTTCATTGAAAGAATAAAATTCAGTAGAAAAGACAATGTAGTTACAACAAATAAACATTAATTTAATATAACAACAAGAATCCAAGCAGTTGGTGATAGATTGGATGGAAAGTAATGTCTTTTTGTTTGGTTTGATAAAGTTCTGAAATAAAATATAAATTGTCTTTGTGTATGTGAGAAACAATGAAATATTGTTACATGTGCATTTGTATGCAAAAGTCAACACATGTGTTCATGCTTTATAGTAAAGAGAGATAGAAATTGTTTCTTACTGTTGGTGGTGTTGCCATAGTTTGAAGTTTGTCAATGCTGTTGCTTTTGAGATCATGAAGATCACAAGTGAGAGTTGTGTGAAGCTTGGTGACAGCTGTGTGTATCCTATTTGGGGCCGTATTTCATATGTTTTTATACACTCTTTCGTAATAAAATCGGCTCCAGATTTAAATTATTTAAAAAGCCATATGGTATGTCTTCTACTACGTCCACACAATATTTTGGTGGCATCTACCTAAATCATGATGACTAATACAACAAACTTTTTGATTTATATTTTACGATTTTACTGGTGGGTTTTAAGACGTAACTTAAAGTATATTCGTGAGTGTGATTGGTTTATAAATATTGTATTTGATATTTTAGTGAACATGTCAACTTTCTGCACCAGTATCCATTAACCTACCCACACATCCAAAATGATTATTAGGAAGAATAAAAGTTTGTTTCATGATTCAATGAACATCTTTTATTCTTTTATTAAATGAATGTGATATAATAATTATTATTCATTATATAATAATTCGTCAGAAGGCTTGTATCTGGTTGAAAGGAAAGTACTTGCATTTTGTAGAATATTAAAACTGTTTAGAAACCACAAAATTTTTTCTTCCAACCAGATAGAATGAAAGAAAAAAAGAACGGGGCTTTTCTAATCCTTAATTTCATTCTTTTTTATGAAAAGAATTTATCTTTTTCAAACTTATTATTTATGATACCACAAGTTGACGTTGCTTTTATGAAATCATAACTACTTTGAAATTTATGCACGCTTTCAATTATATCTACCCAATATAATAGATAGGGGAATTTAAATGTGAAAGAAAGAAATATTCCTATGACTTTTGATAAGATATGCCTATATTCATTTTTTATTTCAGGATTATCTCCCTTGATAAGTAATCAAGGGAGATAATTCTCATATCTTATATTTTAAATATGGCGACCATGGAGTACAATGTGTTTGTTGGTTCGGAGACTGGTTTATTAAAAGGTAAGTTGGAAAAATAATATTCCACATATTTTATGCTCAAGTGGTAAATTTACAGTCCCCCAAAATATTTGTAAATGTTTCTGTGTCCGGAGGCAAATGTGAATCGTTTTCTTTTAATTGATTACTTTTTTTTCGTGTGTGTGGTGATGAAAGGATGAGTAGATCATGCAAAAATCTTTTAAAAAAGTTTTTAAAACTGTGTGTAGTTTAAGTTAATATATAATGTATGGATATCTGATTCAACAGAATAATCTACTATGTAGGTGTCCTTCTGTTGATTTCTTTATTTTGTTCCTGTAAAATAATGTTTCCGTTTACAACGTACTAGTTAACTAGTATACTTTGTACACAAAAATAGCACGTGCTCAAATTGATCAAATTTTTATACATTTTTTCGTAGAAAAAAAGACAATAAAAAAGAAGACATGTTATTGAAGTGAAAAAATGAATTAACAAGTAAAACAAAAAAATATGATTAATTATTTTAGTTTAAAAAAAAAAGCGGGGATGAAATGTTACGTAAACATTGTTTTTTTTAATTACTTTTTCCACAAAAAAGAAAGTGTCCCACACACTCGAACATAATTAGCTTTAGGAAATTTATTGAGACAAAAGACAAAAACAATTATAATTAATAATGACTGAATTATAATCATGATCGTTTCTAATGGTAAAAAAAAGGTTGATAAAATTTACATGCGAAGAAGTTAACGAGCACGCAATAAATTTAGTACACACAAAATTAACTAAAAATGAAAAACAAACATGAACAAAAAAAAAAAACTATTTTTTTACACTAAGTATTATTTGCGGAATATTGTCCGCATCTTGGTTGTTGTCATCACAACGTTTCGGTCGTTGTTCTCCGGCCATCAACAGGTAACGATCCGGATAACCTACACAAGGAATTACGAACTGAATGAGGATAGATAGACTCTTTCTTTTCGTCCCACTGTCCAGTGTCCATGTCTCTAGTAGAGATATCACGCCTAGTTCTTATTTTCACTGAGTACAAGTACACACTGCCTGGCCCAGGGGCTGAAATCACAATTGTTATGTCACCCAATGCCCAATCAACGCTTTTTAATCCACTAGGCTGTGGGACTGGGACAATAGGCAAATTCACGAACCAACAGTTTAATCCACTAGGCTATTGTCGTCCTGCAACCTAGTGTAAAACATTGGTTTGTGAATTTGGTGACATAATAATTGTGAGTTCAATTCCTGACTTGGGCAGTCTGTACCTGTACTCAACAGAAACAGGGTGAGCATGTGGTGATAGAGAAATAAATAAATAACAAGAAGAATAAAATTTTACCATATCTAAAAATAGACTGATAATAAAAATCACCAGGCAAACAAAGCCATAGTTCAATCAGTCAATCAGAAAGCTTTCACAACCTCAATGTAAGAAAATAATGAGAAAATAAGGAGACCGAAATTTCACCATCTCTAAAAGTAAATAGTTCAACCAACCAATCAGAAAGTTTTCACAACCAGAATATAAGGCCACAAGCCACTGAGAAGTGAGTGGACTTTTCAAAGCGGATCTATAGATGTGTATATAAACAGATGGAAAATCAACCAAAACCAACAGCTACTACATTTGGATACATACATATATGTTTATTTACTTCCTTCTGGACTCTTTCGCCATCTCTTTTATGTGCTAGAACTTTTACATTTGAAGCTTCAACTTTTCCTTCTTTATATTGTGTATATGTAAATTTATTTTGTATTTTATCAACACTGCATTTTTTTTAATCATTACGCAAGGCCAATATACACCTAGATCAATTATACCAATGCATGGTTGGAATAGGCGTTGGTATAAAATAAACAACTCATTCATAACTGATAACCTTCTAAACCCAATAAGCAATAACTGAGCATTACTAATAATTAGACAAGATATCCCTAGCCATGGGTAATGGAACAAGAACAGTCTACCACCCGCAGATTAAATAAAGAGTCCAGTTTAGAAATTCCCTGTCAGTTGTCTGGATTGATGTACACCTGTTGAAGGCTGGAATGCACAAAGTGTGATAACAGCTGCAACAAAAATGAGGACAATAGTCCACATATAAATAGTGTAAAATGATGATAATAGTGTAAATAATGATAACTCCTAAATCCAGAAATTCTGACAAAAATTATGAAGACAAAACGGCTTACTCAAAATACAAATTTAATATACCAATTTAACACATTATATTCAACATTAACAGTACCACCTACAAATTAGCAATAACTGAACTTTTATCTCTGTTTTTCCTATATACAATCAACTCCTTGCATATCAAACACTCCAATTGTCCCTGTCTTTTTATGGGCAGACATTAATTTAATTAGTGCTGGAATTTTTATTGCATTTGCCATTTTCTCCAGATATTTTCCAGTCAGAATTTCGCTTGTTTTTTTTTTTTGTTTGTTTGTTTTTTTTTTTTTGCTCCATGTAACACTTGTCAAATCAGCAGTTCTAGAGTCAAGATTTCAATTTCAGTTCAAGAGTCAAGCGTTCAAGATATCAGACAATTCTTTGACAGATGCTTCTAGTCAAAGCAGGAATTATTCTGTTTATGATGGAATGCTTAATTTAACTGAAAGGTTATAGGAAAGTCAAGGAAATTGCTTTCATATCCAGATGGTTGATGCTATGAAAATATTTTGTTAAAAAATGATGGAAACTTTTGCATCAACCTAAGAACTGTATCATTGATTTTTTTTTTTAATTTAAACTCTTCCTGTCTAAAAAGTTCAGTAGTAATTCAGGAAAGATTTTATTTTGCCATTTTATTTCCAAATACCCCCAACCCCAAATTATTATTCTGCTTGTGTGTAGGTATAACAATTACAGTCTCAACACTAGGATCAGAGTGTAATATCTGTCCATTTCCTTGCTCTTCCTTGCTAGAATCAGTTGTGTTTTGACAAAGAAATTTACATAATAATTTTAAGTTGGAAGGAATTGATAAAGTGAAGAAGAATAATGGAGTAAGAAAGAGCTTAACATCAGAGGTAAGAAAGCTAGGGAAAAATAAAGTGTGTATATATATATATATATATATATATATATATATATACACACACACACACACACGTTGGTTCCAATCACTATCAGAATAACTGCAAAAGCATCTCCCCTCTCCATATTTATAGACAAATCATACTGATGCATGCTGGGATTTTTCCTAGCCAGTAAGATAGACCACTTCTCAGTCTCATCCACCATATTTTGAAGGAATGTATTATAAGTAATATGTATTATATTGTAAGCAATTTTCATTTAATCCATGTTGTTAATGTTAATAATTGAACAGTGTACAATTTATAAACACCTCGGTAAAGATATCCATATTTTATCCTCATAAATGTTACATATTTAGAACCCAATTTTTTTTTTTTTTTTTTTTTTACTGCAAAAGTTCCCAAAGCACAATAATGTAAAGCTGTCCATCCTTCTACTCAGGTTTTTGCTAAATGTCAAAATTCTGAGTGTTGAGATTCGATACAATTTAGTTTTTACTGTAAACTTTGTCACTCGGGGGGCGGTTCTCTTTGTAGTTCACTGCACCCTCCTTTACCAACTCATGCAAAGAGAAAGAGGATTGCTTTTTAGTTTTTTTCATGTGGGCATGAATGATTTCTTTTGCACACTGCCCCTCAATTCTTATACACAAAAAAAACTTATATAAGCCAGCTTACCCTGAAAATCCATTTAGGTGAAACCTAGGTAGGTAGTTTCTGGCTTGCCAGGATTTTTTATACTCTGCTCTACTTAGTGTACTGAGCACTTTGTTTTTTCTTATTTTACTCGATTGTGTTTTTTTCTCTTTAGACTAGAAATTACAGCACTGGTCAATTATTTTTTTTTTTTTTTGCCTACTCAGATGTTTTTAGTCTTTTCTTTTTTTTCAAAATTTTTCTACCAGATACCAATTTATTTTAATATATTTCTATTTGCAGATTGTACTATCCAGGTTTTTTTACAACAGTCGAGTATAGACATTAACATATATATATATATATATATATTATATGAGATTAAAACAAAAATATATTAAAAATTGCTAGACAAAAGCTTTCATGTTTCTGCACTACATCTTCCTCAGGCAATGGCAAATAACTGGGAAGTAAAAAATTATTTTTAAATTTCAAAAGCAGACAACAACAAAATTAAAATGAGGCTTGTGAGTTTACTCTGATTAACCAATTATGTGTCAGACCTATGCAAAAAAACAAGAAAAAAAGAAAATGTTAGTGGGAATTTTGTTCATGGTAGAATGTGGTTTGAAATATAATCCTAGACAAGGTTATGAGTGGCAACCACATATCATAATTATAAAACAAATGTAACTAGTTGAATTTTATAAGAAGCTATTCTGTAGTGATTTTTAACATGCTTTTGTTTTAATCTCATATAATATTAAGCTCTACTCTGTATTGAGCCCTTTTTAAAAACTTAAATGCTACAGACAGTGGAATTGTACTCCATTTGTTCTTATCCCACACCTGGAAATATATATATATATATATATATATATATATATATATATATATAGCATATTATATTTAAGGATATATAGAAAGGAGTAAAAGAAGTATAAAAGTGAAGATGTAAGTGAAAATATTTGTACATCTATTCTTTTGCAATGGAATATCTTTGTGATCACCCATGTCCTAAAGGGACATAGCACACACAAAAGAAAAGGATGAGATAAAAACACAAGCAACAAACATTTGAATGATATAAGTAAAGAGAACAAGTTACAAGCAAATGTTGAGAGAAAAGCAGTCAGGAGATAATGGATAATTTGGGTTGACAGCACCCATGGTATTTTCATGGGGTGTGCTAGGTGTTCTGCTTTTTTGTTGTTTTTGTTTTTTCCTGTTACAATACAGTATTTAATTTTTATTTTTTAGCTGCCAACTGTGCAGAAGAAAAGTGGAATAATCTAAACACATTGGAAGATGTGAAGAAAGACAATGAGATCTGTTGCATGTGTTGGGGGAGCAGTCAACAAGAAAAGGTATTTTAATGCAGAATTTTTTACTAAAATTTATTACTAAATTATACTAAAGAAATGATGATTTTTTACTTGAAAAGAATGATAGTACTTTTAGAAGGTCTAAAAGAGTTGAGGTAAAACTAAGGTCATTGTTCTCACAAATTATCAATTCAACTGAATTGCTATCTTATGGTGGCTTAAACCTGAACTTTGAAAGAATGGTCTTTGAAGTGAAGTCCGAGAATATGAGAAGGTTTATTATCAGAAAATGTGGATAAGTCAGATTCAATTAAATATTTGAATTTTTTGGTGCAACATGATCTCTGAATGGTGGGAAATTCTGTCATTGCAGTTCTATATCTCTTGTAAATGACTAAGATTGCATTTCTGTGACTCTGTTGTAAATGACTAAGATTGCATTTCTGTGACTCTGTTGTAAATGACTGAGATTGCATTTCTGTGACTCTGTTGTAAATGACTGAGATTGCATTTCTATGACTCTGTTGTAAATGACTGAGATTGCAGTCCTATGACTCTGTTGTAAATGACTGAGATTGCAGTCCTATGACTCTGTTGTAAATGACTGAGATTGCAGTCCTATGACTCTGTTGTAAATGACTGAGATTGCAGTCCTATGACTCTGTTGTAAATGACTGAGATTGCTGTTGTAAATGACTGAGATTGCAGTCCTATGACTCTGTTGTAAATGACTGAGATTGCAGTCCTATGACTCTGTTGTAAATGACTGAGATTGCAGTCCTATGACTTTGGTATTAATGACAGAGATTGCAGTTTTATGACTCAGTTGTAAATCATGGAAATTTCTCCCACACTGATGTGAGGTTTTCATAACATTAGAACAGTCAAACCAGTGATCATAACCAGAAAAAAAACTTTTTTAAAATTCTTTTAATATAACTTTTGACCCTAATCATGTTCAAGGTCACCCTTCAAAATATTTAACATGTTCAGTTAATGGCCAGAGGAGGCATGGTGGAGTAATGGATAGTGGCTTGGATTGAGGAACGTGAGAGCCAACTTCGAATTCCAGTCAAATCCATTACATTTACTTATGTGCTAATATCCTTGGAAACGGTATTAATCCTATTCTTCTCCCTCCAGCTATGGGCAAATAGCAGAACAGACTGGGTTCTATAGCCTTGGATGGCAACTGGTCTACCGAAGAAAGAAATAGCAATCGAACGATACATGATTGCCTAAGTGTGTATCACGCATGGCACATAACTGACTGACTGAGTTAATGACCTGGAAAATTAACCTTTAAATAGTCTCCAAAAGCAGTTTTACTTTCAGGTTAAAATGTAATTTTATTGATATGTTAGTATTATGAGCAGCTTTTTTCATTCATTTGTCACAATTTTTATGCATTTTTGTGAATAATTTTGTAACTATTGCAACAAGAAAGAATTTTCAAATTCTCACATTCATAAAAAAAAAATTGTCAAGACCATTTCTTGTCTAGTTTCAAGTCTGTAGGTTATGTAATTTATATAAGTTATTTTAATTTTGGAAGAAATCAATTATTTTTTTTCATTTTGTTATTAAAACCTAATGTCAGCCAGTTTCTAGTTAGTATGTTCTTTATGAAAAAGGCAGCCTTTTGCCAGTAAAAGTTCCTTTTCACTTCTGAACATGAAAGAGAGATTTTATGTTTTGATATATTCCCTAGTCATCACTGAAAAAAAACAAATCTATGCTTTAGAACAGTTTGTATACTATTCCTTAAATATATTGTAACATATTCAGCATTGTGACTCTGGCCAAAGAGCATCATGGATGGCATGATCAAAGGATAAGTCTCCCATTCAGTGACATGATGGATGGAGCTTGCTATATATTTATCCTTTGCTTATTGTTATCTAAAAGATCATCCCAAATAGATGTCAATAAACATCTTCCTGTGTATTTGAATTTTCTTGACATTTCTGATATATATTTATGATTTCTTTAATTTTTCTTTTAGGTCTACTTTGCTCAACGAAATCAGTTGATTAAAGTCTACAACATTTTATCTGGAGAGATATGTGAAGAAATAGAGCTAAATGCTGGAGAAGGAAAGTTTAAAAATATAGCTGTGTTTGACCAGTAAGTTGCAAAGATTTATTTTACCACATTTTGATCTGGGGTGTGTGGGGGGGGGGGACTGTCGGTGGTGCAGTAATTAAAAACATAGCCTTACAAGCCTGTGACAGTAATTTCATTTCTTACTGCTCTACAAAACTGTCAAATTTGGCTTAGCCCAATAAATGTAAAGTTGTGTGTGTGATACAGAGGGGAATAAAATAATTTTAGAGGATTAAGGAAAGGAAAAAAATGAGAAAAAAAAAAATCTTCTAACTAGTAGGTGTTTCTGCATATTGTTGAAGATGTCATATTTCCTGGAGTTTGGAAGATTCACTGTGTAAAATCCTCATCAGAAAGGGAAAATAAAAACAAAATAAATATGGGGTCATTTGAATGTCCATGTTGCAAGTCCTGGTTAAAAAAAAAAAAAAAAAAAAACTAGGGAGGATTGATGTGGTGGAGTTAAGTGCTTTTTTATTCAACCGTGAATTAATGAATTATTAATTAGCAAGAGGGCAAGGGATTACTTGTAAAAAAAAAAAAAAAAGTTTCTCTCTCTAAAATTTTTCAGTGAGAATTTTCAATCCTACAACTTTTAGAAATTGAAATTCTCTTGCTCTCACTCACTTGATGTCTCTCCTTCTCTGTCAAGCAGCTGGTAAAATTTTTCTACTAAGGACAACAAAAGCAGCCAGTACAGACCATATGAGCTGTGCTATTTGACACTATAGAAAAAAATCCTTTCTCTTGGTGGAAAAAACATTTAACTTGATTTTCATTAAAAAAAAAAAAAAAAAAAAAACAGTCCAACGTTGGTATATAGTCTCAAGAAATCCATTGGAACTAAGATAGTGATGTAACCGATTCATCTCACTACAGAACTGTAATTTGTTACTAAACATCCTTCTCGGGCGCATACCTAGCCATGTGATGCTATTTATGATGTTTATCCTCTCAACAGGGCTGGATTTAAGCCTTAAGAGGCTCCTGGGCTAATAGAATCCCCCCCCCTAACTTCATTATGTATATCCCCACTCCTATGCCTATAAAAAAAATATAGTTTTATATTATGCTTTTTGAGGTTAAGACATGAAACACTTCAATTAAAATTTTTAATGATTTTGGAACTCATCCCATTTATTTCATTGCCTTCATTATCATCACAGTGAGAAATCAAATGCACACATATAGTAGAAAAATTAATTTTAGACTAAATTAACTTTTGTCTTGATTTGTTTGCAACAAAGTCTGATTAAATCATGAAAAGATATTTCATGCACTTTATCACTAAAATGCTAAGGGCACCCAATTTGCTTTGTGTAAGAGTTGATCAAAGCTGCTCTTTTATTCTTTTTAGTTGAGAATAAAGATCTTTTGCTGGAACAGTTGGTTAGCATCATACACAGAAAAGGTCTTAAAACAAATTCAACATTAGGAAATGCTAAATAGCATATAAATTAGAAAATTTACCTAATAGCATTCATTTGCAAAACAGGCCGTATACACAATTGAAAATAATAAAAAAGAGGTAACTCACAGCCATTTATGATTTGTGGATTAAGTAAAAAAAGAGAAAAAAAGGTCTAAATATGTATTTTAGTGTTGAAAACATGTCTGGGTAATTTAAATAACATCCAATAAATTCTATGTAATTGTACGTTGTTAATTTATGTTCTAAGAATTCATTTTTTTTAAAGTTACCTCCCTTCTAGATTAGCAATTTTCTAAGTGGCCATTCACTTTTTTTGTTTACATTCGCCTGTTAGAATTCATCTTGTTATATGACATGTGGAGCCGTTTCATACTAGTTGGCCATGGGGCTATAAATAAACATTACTGTCTATTTGCTAATATTTATAAACTTTACTGTGAATTTGTTAATCTTTATTTATCTGTTATTTGAACTGAACTCTTTATTTAATCTATGGAGGTAGATAGTTCAATTCTGCTGACCATGTCCAGGGATATCATATCACAGAAATTTTCCCTCCATTTAGGTTATTTAATTTTCTTATATGATAATGTTCACTCTGTACAAGGACAAGGAGCCACTCAAAGTAGAGGGCTAATTGTTATAGAATCTTAAACAACCAGAGGATCATAATAAAAAGGAACAAAAATAGAAGAAAAACTCATTAATAAATTTTATATATATATATATATATAATTTTATTTTTCTACAGTTGTGGCCCCCAAATTTATATTCTTTATATTTATATTATTTTTAGGCAAATACTCACTGCATTGGATTCTGGGATTGTCAATTTGTGGAACAACAAAGGAGAAAGTGAAGTAAGCTTATTTACATTCAGACTAATGTCCTCATCTTTGCTGTTTCATTTCAGCCATTGTGTTTGCTGGCCTTCTTCAGATGTCTGTTGATCTAGTTAACTTTCAGGAAATTTTGAACTGAACCCTTTATTTAATCTATGGGGGTAAATTGTTTTTGTTCTGCAGTCCATATCTAGAGATATCTTGTTTTCTCTGAGTCTGTACTACCTAGCTCAGGGATTGAACTCACAGTTACTATGCCACTAAATTCACAAACCAATGCTTTAATCCACTAGACTATTCTTCCATGATGTAAATGATTTCTAAACATACCTTAGATGTGACCCAAGGCCAAAAGTGTGGAGCACCCAGTGAGAATCAAACTCACTCAGTTCAGTTATGTGCCATGCATGATATACACGTAAACAATCATGTATCTTTTGATACATGACTGACAACCCGGCCCATCCTGCTATTTACTCATAGCTTGGTGGGGGAGGAAGAGGATTCATACCTTTCCCAACTCAGCTCTCCAATTCCTCAATCCCACTACTCAGTCATAATTGATTTAATGAGACAAGCTTGTTAACCATTACACTATGTCATCCCAGCAGTGTACCAAAAATCTAATCAGTTATCCAAAACACCATTAATATATTTTAGAAATAAATTTAAAAAATTTTAATGAATAAATACAAAAATAAGTTAGTTAAATTTTACTGTAATTTTTATAAAAAATCTACTATATGAATTTAAGCGTACTACTAAATTGGCAGTTAGGTCTCATTGTTTTATTGTCGTCACTGTATTTTCCATTCTAATAGTTTCTTTTCTCACTTCTGGAACTCTCTTCCAGTTTCTTGCTTCCCTGCCATCTACAATCTTCAAAAATCTAAATGCAACACTGATCACTTCCTGAAACTTGTTCTTGTCCTTACTCCCCACTAAAGTCTTCTTATTATCTTTCACACCTAGTAACCCTTTGCATTTTAGTTTTGATTGGGGTAAAATGATTAAAAAAAATTTTGGTTAAATAACCTTGAATAATTTTACATGGAAATGTTCTTATTAAGTAATTTTCATGTTCAGATTAACTTATACTTTAAGAATTGTTCACTGTACATTTGTTTTTTATCTGTATGGAATATCAGCACATTCCAACTTCCCAAATTGAACCCATAGGCCTCAACCGCGGTGATGGAAAGCAGCCGGATGGCATTACCATTTTCCCTTTTAAAATGGGGAAGTCATTGATTTGGGATGCAACCTATGCGGATACATTTTCGGCCGGTAATTTGATCAGGTCTGCGGCTGAGCCGGGATCCGTCACCCGGGACGCAGAGATGAAAAAAATAGTTAAATATTCTTCTCTTGTTGATAGATTTTTTTTTAAACTCCTGTGGCAGTGGAGACTTCAGGGGTTATTGGCCTTTGTTCGATGGCGTTCCTTTGGATGATTGGCACGATTGCATCTCGATTAAGGGACGAGCCTCATGAAACAGAGTGGCTCTTGCAGCATGTCTCACTGGTGATGGTTTGAGGTAATGCTTTCTCCATCATTGCGGCTGGCAGAGGATAGAAAAAAAATTGTTTATAGTTACATTGTTCTGGAATTGTCATCAATGGTCAAGTGAACTTGTTTTGTTCCAACTATCCATAGCTAAAAAGTTTTCATAAAAAATATAAATAATAAATAGAAATATCTAAATTTAACCTTCATTTGTTTCATTCAGATTTAATTCACCAGTTAACTTAATCTTATTTAGTTCATGTGGGTGTCCATCAACCTTCATTTTTCATTCATGTTTTGGCAATGTTTAACCTTTGTGCCTGCATAAAAAGGAAGACACCGCTTGACACCACTATTATTGTACTCCCTTGGCAACATTTATTTACAAATTATAAAAATATGTGGATCTAGTACAATATTATATGGTGTATATTTATTATTTACCCTTTTATAAATAACTGGAAACAAGTTTTTTAGTCAATCTAATGAACAAAAAGTGTTTAATGTATTGTAACTATTTACACTATTTACATTGTTTGGACTGTTGTCCTCATCTTTATTGCCATATTCACAGTCTATATTTCTGAGATGTAGATAGCTACAATACTTCATCTCAGAAATATAGACTGTGAATATGGCAATAAAGATGAGGACAACAGTCCAAACAATGTAAATAGTTACAATACCGCATCTCAGAAATATAGACAGATCCTGCCACTATTGTTGAGCAGTAAGTTTTTTTTAAGTAATTAGTTGCTTTTAGAATAAATATAATAGAATTTTAATTAAAAATTTTGTGTCATCCCAAAACCTCAACTGATTAGTCCTTACTAATGGTCTGTCATCTTCTTGATGACAGGACGATGTTAATATCTCAAACCCTGGAGATTGTGTTTTTTTTTTTTTTTTTTTTTTTTGTTGTTTGTTTTTTTTTGTTTTTTATCCATCTGCTCCCACTCATATTTGCTTTTCTTTCAGCTGGAAATCAAAACTGGAGACAAATTATCTTGTATGCGCCAAAATTTCTTCAAACGTAATCTGGTTGCTACAGGAGGCAAAGAGAATCCACTCAAACTATGGGATATCAACAAACCAACAGAACCAATCTTCACTTCAAAGAATGTAAGTACCGAACCGAATCTTTGCATGAAAATTCCTGATGCATTTTTGATAGGACAAATCAGCACTTGCAGATATGATGCAAATGGCAACAACTAACAGTGTTTCTCAAGAAAACTTTGGAAATTCAAATTTTGAATATTTTTTTTTTTAATTTGTGGAACAACAAAGGAGAAAGTGAAGTAAGATTATTTACATTCAGACCAATGTCCTCATCTTTGTTGTTTCATTTCAGCCATTGTGCTTGCCAACCTTTTTCAGGAATTTTGAACTGAACCTGGAACCCTTTATTTAATTTATTGGGGTAAATTGGTCCTGCTGTCCAAATTGGTAAAGGCACGTCAAGCTAAATGACAGTTCCGTATAGGATACAAGTTCGAATCCTGTCAGAGGAAAAATTTTTTCTGCAAAAATTTCTGACATTCAGGCCAGTAAATGTTGTTTAATACTGTTTATTATAAACAGAGCATTTACTTAAATATTTGTATCTATAAAAAGAATGTATAAACATAAAAATGTCTTAAAATAATTGTCGAACTTTGTCCATTTCATAATGTGTGACATCATATATATATATATATATATATATATATATATATATATATATATATGCACACAAAAAGAAGGAATAGGCAGACAGTATGAAAACACGTGACAAATACTGACGTTATTTTCAGTTAACAATATGAAAATAGCATTTCTCTACGTTCCAGTTGCTAGGAACATTCTGTCTTTTGTTTTTATTAGTTACCTTGTTCAATTAAATTCATTTCGTATTTTGCTCTGATAAAGTCCACATTGGACGAACGCATCAGCAATTACTAGTTTTCCTATTGTCATTTTATTCATAAATAAATATATATATATATATATATATATATATATATATATATATATATATAGGCTATCATAGCTCTCCACAAATTCCAATTATTTGTAGCCGTAAGTAATGTTTGTTCTGTACTATCATCCCTGTTCTGCCATCCATTTGCACAAGTTTGTCATTATGTAGGTTACTTACTGCTTCCCTCTGCCCCTCTTGTCTGCACAATGTCCTGTCAGGGTCAAATTTCCTCATTATATGTCCTAAATATTTCAACTCTTTCTAAGCACAAATCTCCTGAGGAAATTGTACAGCATTTACTGTCATACAGGAGGATTGATACTTAACTGTTCATCATTATTTTCTTTGATTCTAATGACATTTTCCTTTTTTTTTTCTTAATACTTTGTTCAGCTTATAGCTTATATATATATATATATATATATATATATATATATATATATATATATATAAATAACAAAAAAGCCCTTGCTGTTTTTTTATGTTATGTTTTTATGTGAAAAGAAATGTTCATTGATATGCAAATGAGTGTGTCATGTACTCTTGGCCATTACAGGTGCATTGCACACATGCACACCAGACATAGCTCAAGCATTGGCAAGAAAACATAGCAGTGTTGAAGCAGCTTGTTTGGGAGTTGTCTACTTTATGACTTTAAGGTGGGTTTGTCTATAGCTGCATCAAGTTACCGAAAAGGGCAAGCATTTGGGGATAATATTATGATTGATCACCACACCAGATATTGATTCCAAAAGTTCAGGTTAACAGATCTGTCCCTTTGTGATGAACCCTGCAGTTCCTGAATGTTGAGGCCTTGAATCTGGCCATAGAGGAAGACGACAGCCAAACCTGTGGTGAGATTGTTGAACACTTCTAGGTTTCTGATGAAATGGACTTCACCTGCAGCACACAGTGAACATGTACAAGTTGAGCAAGTGGGTACCCGACACACTGTCAGAGCCAACAAGTAATAAGTGACAGCCTGTTTCAAGTTGCTTTCTCAGCACCTCAGTGTACTCATATTTCATCAAGTGCTCACCAGTGATGAAAAGTGTATCTTGTATGACACTCCCAAGTGTGTCAGACATAGGTTGTAACCACAGAATGCTGTGCCTCACAAAACCACCTCTACACCCAGACAAGATCATGCTCTGTATCTGGTATGCTAGTCGACATGTGGTTCACTATAAACTGCTGCCAACAAGCCAAACCATCACTGCAAACCTGTAATCACAGCAGTTGTAATGTATGCAACAAGCACTGAAGCAGAAGGAGCCAGCATTAGTTAATCATAAAGGTGTACTGTTCCTCCATGACAATGCCAGACCTTATTTGGTACAGGTAGCCGAGGATACCATATGGTGACTTGGCTGGGAGAGACTGTGCCAATGTGCCATCCACCTTACTTCCCAGACCTTGTACAACAGATAACCACCTCTTTCACTCCTTGGACACCTTTTACTGTCATTGGCATTACACAGCTGGTGACATATTGGCAAAAAGTTTCTGAATGCTGATGGGGATTACTTTAAGGTTTAATGGTATTTCTCATTTGCCATATAACATTTTTTTTTTTTTCTAATAAATCATAAATGGCAAGGACTTTTTTTTTATTACCTTGTGTGTATGTGTATATATATATATATATATATATATATATATATATATAACTCAAACATTTGCTTTAAAATGTTGAACTTTTATGCATTTCATAGGTACCACATGATTGGCTGAATTTACGAGTCCCAATCCATGTGATGAGTATTGGTTTTATTCCCAAATCTGAAAAAATTGTCACAGGTACTGGATATCATCAGGTAAGTCTGTTCCAGTAATTATCACTTGTAGAAATGACTCTCTAGGTAGCATTATTGCTTGTTGCATGACAGCTATGATAAAATGATGAAACCTTCTTTTAAGGTGATTGGTTGGTTTATGTAAAAAAAAAAAAAAATAGTTCTGGGGAAAAAGCTGTTTGAATGGAATTCGTTTTTTAGCAAAGTAACTCAAAGGGACTGTTTCCTATCCCGAACACACCATGCTATGTCCTAGCTGTGAAAATCTGAGCTGGTGGCACCAAGGAATGTAACTCATTCAAACATCTGCTATAGTAATAGCAATATTAAATTAATGAAAGATAAATACTAAAACTAAATTTCTTACACCCTGGACATTCCTATTAGTTTTAATTAATATGATAAAGTTTTATATAATTTTCTTTTTTCTGAGATGAGGTGGGGTGGATTTGGTCAAAGTTGAAGTGGCTCATCATTAGAAACTGTCTAGTAAATAATATATGCTTTATAACAGGAGGCCACAAAGTGACCAATATTGACTCCAGGAGGTTGATGGTCAAAAGTGGGTGGTGGGTGATAAATAAATTGTGGTGACTTACGAGTAAAACGCATCAATTTTCAACCAAATATCAATTGTCTTTCACCTGTTCATCAACTGCATCTTAATGATGTCAACCTATTCAATAAAAAGTTGTATTCATTTATTTTTAATGTATTTATTGTTACCTATATTTGAACGTTTTGGAAATGTTTAACGTTCGTGCCTGCAAAAGATGCTTATTGCTTATTTAAAAGAATTTTTTTTTTTTTTTTTACCAAATAATCACCCAGTACAAGGCTCAAGAGCCACTCAAGGTAGAGAGTTACCGGGTGGAGTTATATTAGCATAGGAAAGGACAAGGGTTAGGAGTATAGAGCTGAAGTAGACTTTAGAAAGGACCAGAAACCCAATGCTAAAGACGAAACAAGGGTTAAACCTCTACTCCTGTTTTTAAAAGTCCAAGGAGGTGTGTGGACCAGACATGGGTGTATAAAAGTATGTGGTGAGAGTAAATAAAATGCCTGGAAAATGCATTTTTTCAAAATTTATAATTACATTTACTCATCGTTATGTGTTTCTTTAAATTTTTTTTTTTTGTTCACAGACATTTTTATAAATTTATAAAAAAAAAAAAATTTTTTTTCGTATTTATTTCTTTATAAAATGGTAAATAATAAATATTTCATTATAGTACTCTTGTAAACATAAAGTTATTCTTGTAAATAAGCAATCTAGTGAATAATGTTTAATACCTTCTCAAGAATAAAGAAAATGCATAAATCCACTTTCATATGTTTGGGTTCTATTAAGATTCTAATCATTGCTTTTTGAAAACAATAAACATTGCTGAAGGAGTCAAAAGTGTATCAAGGAAATAATTGTACTTTCAATACACTGTTCTTTTGTGGGCATGACAATTAAACATTGCTGACTTTTTATTATTATTCAATCACATCTCATATAGGAAGAGAAATTGAAAAAATAATAATAAAACTTAAAACTAAAATCTGATTGAGAAACAATAATTGAAGAAAAGAACAAAGGAATTTTTACCCTAAAATAAAAAAAGATAATTATTGATGTTTTTTGTACAGTCCAAAGAAGAATCGTCACTGTTATTGGTCTTCAGCTACAGTCACTTTCCCATCGCCATATTGTGGCTTTTCTATAAACACTTTTTAATGGTAATTGTTTGAATGAACTCTCTGCCACAGTAGTGAGAAACTACACATTTAAGCACAGTACTAGATTGGCAACAAGGTTTCTTCAATTTATGGTCAAATTGGCTAGATCTAACCAGAAGTCCTGTGCTAACAGTTTCTTTTCTCACGCTTCTCACCTGTGGAACTCTCTTCCAGTTCCATGCTTTCCAGCCAACTTTGAACTTCAAAAATTTAATTGCAATGTTAATCGTTATCTACTGTCTCCTTAATTACTCTTCTATTGTTCTTGCTCCTTAATAATATTCTCTTTTTTTTTTTTTTCTTTTTTTTTTTCTTATGCTTTCACACTTAGTAACCCTTTGTGTCCTTTACAGCCTTGCATGGGGTAAAATGATAATAAAAATTGCCTGGAAGTTGATGAGGAATCAAGGATTCCATGAAGAGATCAATAGACTAAAAAGCTTGGTGTCCCTTGCTTTATTTGATAAAAATGTGCAGTCATCCCAATGTCTATAATGTCTTCAAAATACATGACTGTTTTTTATAATACAAGTAGTTTTTTACCTGTTGCTTCACTGACAGGAAGATAATCAAATTTCAAGTCTAAATCATTTTTTCATTTAAGATATTTCATTTACTAGAAAATATATACAGTTTAAATAAAAGGAATAATAAAACGACTTCAAAGGGCTGCATATTTTGGCTTATACTCTTTCCTGTTAACAAGAGGTTGTTGCCAGACAAAAGGGGAAATTATCCTTTGTGACACAGATGTCCATTTCAGTTTCATTCAAATTGTGTGCGTGTGTGTGTGTTTGCATTTACGTTTGCATGTGCACTTGTATATTTTCAATTCCAAACAAAAATATTTCTACAAATTTTAAAAAAAAAACTTAAAAATAATAATTCTCTTTTTTACTTTATAATTTCTGGAAAGTTCAATAAAATTTTATTAATATCTGAAAACTTTTTTTTTGTCTATAAATTTACGATTTTATTGCTCAGCCCAGGATAGGGGTTGTCCACACTGAGTGATTAATGTATTATTCCAATATCTTATTTCCAACTCAGCCAAATTGTATATGTGCATGTGCTTCTGTACACATTAAATGGCACAAACGTATGTAAGACACTCATGAGCAACACAGACATACACACATACATTAACATACACGCAGACGTACACACATACATTAACATGGAGGTATGGTGGAGTAATGTTTAACAGCTCAGATTGAGGAATCAGAGAGCTGAATTCAAATTCCAGTCAATTTCATTATATTCACTTATAGGCTAATACCCTTAGGAAAGGTATGCATTCATCTCTTCTCTTCCTCCAGCTATGGGTAAAAATAGCAGAAGGTCCTATAGCCTTCGATGGCAACCAGTATAGGAGAAGAAAACTCCGATTTCAAATCGGATCACACTCTCCTAAAGTTTATACATGTGGCTGGATATCACTAGTGAATCCAAATTCCCACTAAAATTCTTACTATGAATTTGCACGTCCGAATTAACACACTACTTTGTTTTGATGCAACGTGTTCAATCTGATGAATACTATATACATACAAAGTGACACACAGTATGTGACAGACAGAGACTCCGCTCTTCTTTTATAATACTAGAATTTTTTTTGCAACACAATAATGTATGTTAAAATCTTCACAGTATTTAGTATTGTTTAAGTTATCACTAACATTTTTTGTCAAGATTTACAAACTCTACATTTTGGTCAATTTTGCAAAAAACAATTGATGAAATTTGAATAAGCTGATTTGTTTGGAAATATACTTTGACAAAACCCCTATTTTATGGTTTAATAATTTCTTTAATTTAATTTTATAGGACTTCATGGTAAAGAATATTTTTTAATAAAATTTCTTTTTTTAACAGCAAAGAATAAATTCTTAGGATTTCTTACTCTTGAGCATGTAACATTCATAAATATTTCTTTCTAGAGCCAAATTCCAACTTTTTGAAGCATTTGACCTTGAGATTTGTTTATAGTTCTGGCAAACACAGGACAAACTGAAAACTGGATTCTTGTATGTAAAAAATTAAAGAAAAGATAGGCAAAAAACAATATTGCATTTTTATTAAATAAGTATTTATTATTTTAATGATTAAACTGTTTTTTAAATAGTGGGAATATTTTGTATGTTAAATAATAAAATATTTAATTTTTCCCCCCAAAATTAATGAAAATTTATTGTACTAAGTTATACACCCTAATAAATTTTTGTACCTGCTTACCTGTTTGCACTTCTCCCCTAAATTTGGTTTTGAGCAATCAATGTATGTCTATTTTTAGAGGGTGTGACAGAGAGGTAGACTAAGGGAAGTAAAAGAATTTCAAATTTCAGAGATAAATCCTTATCAGTTATGATTCATTGTTATTGGCACTCCCAGATCATCATTCTAGGATCATTAGACAAGCAACACTTATTAATTAACATAATTAACAAGTGAGAGTTAATTCTGACTTAACCTCAGAATATCTATTTAGTGCCAAATCAAGTCATATTCTTGATGATATAAAGAAAAATATTAGCTTAATAGAAATGTTTGATTTGGATTCTTTTTCGTTTTAAAATTTAACTTCTGATGGTAAGAGTTACGGGCCTTGAATCAAGGTTCCTCAAAAGGGATTAGCCATAAAAGCTCTTCTTTCAAATACCGAAAAATTAAGCATGTAAATATATAATGTGTGTTTGTATAATCTGTAAACACTTTGTTTATAAATGTAACTCTACTGTTCATCTATCAAGATATTATGAATCTCTCTCTTAGTTTAAGTTTACAAACTAATTCTTTATATCTGATAAAAACATTCCCATATATCTGCAGTTATTTATTTTTTCTAGATAATAAAGTCCTTGTACCCAATTTTTTTTTATCAGCATGTGGATAGATTTGTAAGCTTTTAATACTCAGTAACAACAGAGGTCAAGGGGCATTTTTAGAGGATATGTGTAGAGGTACTACTAAATTAATTTTTTTTTTTTTTAAATTTGAAAATTATAGATAGTGGGAAAGCAAGAAATGGAAGAGAGTTCCACAGGGCAAAGTGCAAGAAAAGAAACTATCAGAATAAAACTAACAATTGCATCTAATTAGTTGAACAGTAAAATGGTGAGACCTAGCTGCCAATCTAGTAGTACGCTTAAATTCATGAATTTGAGCACTAAGAAGGAAAAGCTCATCAGAACAAGTGCCAGGAAAATATTTATAGAAAAGGCAGAGGGATGCCATATTATGGCAGTGAGAAAGTGACTGAAGTCAAGATGCCAGGTCAGGATTGATTACATTACAGATCCTTCATTGCATTGTGTCAAGAATCTTGAAATATATAAGCAGGAGCCACCAGACCAGATATGGCAGCAATATTCAATGAAAAAACGAATAATAGACCTGTAGATGTGCAAGATGGATACTGATGAGAAAAATTGTCTGTGACAACACACTTGAACCAGCCTTTTTAGCAATAGACCTAGCAAGTGATTTGCTATAATCACTCCACATATGAGCCCAAGAAGGCGCAAAGAGTTACTCTCCTAGAGGTTAGCATCACCCATGCTGTTGGAAGACAGAAAAGGTTCTCTATGGTGATTAAATGATAGCAGTTTCATTTTGGAGGTATTAAAATTTACAAGCTATTCCTTGTCCCATTTAACTGACTGTAGGTCATTTGTTACACTTGGAAAATTTTTTGCACATTTATTTATTTTTTTTTTTTGTAAGTGTATAATTACTTAGAGATAGCTTATATATGGAATTTAAATGAATTTATCTAAAATGTTTACTTATGCATTGCTTTTATTTATTTTTAAGGTCCGAGTTTATGATCCAAGCACATATCAGCGAAGACCAGTTCTGAATGTAACATTTGATGAGTACCCAATCACAGCACTTACTGTTTGTCCAAATGGGAAGTAAGTAATCACAAGGTTGATTTCTTAATCTGGGGAACAATTGTAATGTCTAATTTATTTCTGCATGATACTAAGACATTGGTCACTACTGATTGATATCTATATCAGGATTCTCCTGTCAATAATGACATATAAGAGCCAAACAATTTTCTTAGAACTAAACCACCAGACTACCTTCACATATAATTTGATTACAGCCATCAGGTTTTGAATTCAGAGTTGTCCTTCTCTTAGACTGGTAAAAGACCCAGTGTACCCCGCTATTTACCTCTTATCAGGGTTAAATATATAGTTAAATATTAAATTTTTTGTTTTTCTCTCTCTGAGATTCTATTAATGTTGTGTATGATACACCTAATTTACATAAGTAGAGTACCGACCATATAAATATGGGTTGGTACCGGAAGACGAGGGAAGATTAAGAGATCGAATCCAGAGACTCTGCCCGACTGCGACTTAGTCAACCCATTCTGCAGGAACAGTCTTCCCAAGAATATACCAAAACTACCTGTAAATATTGTGTACCTTTTTTCATTGTTTCAATACATTTTGTTACGTACATTTTGTGTTGTATTATTATTATTCCATGCTTATTCAAGCTTCAACAATTAACAACATGACTAACATACATGACACTTAAAGTTTCACATTAAAATGGAGCATGTGACATAATTTGTCTGTACTTTATATGGTGTTCTTTAGTTTGGGCCAAGTCATAGTGTAAATGAAGGCAAGAACTGGAGATCTATTTCAAATGTCATTGTTCCACTTGGAGCAATGATTTTTAGTTTAGGTTTGTCTTTGCCTGAAGTAAATAATGCCATGGTACTTCAATAGAACCAATCTTCAGACACTTCAGATCAGTTCTATTTTCCCCCAAATTTTAAAAATAAAGGCATTTTGTATTTAACTACTTTTTGATTGATTATTTTTACACTGTATATACTAATATAACTTTGTACTGAATCTGTCTTGCATTTTTTTCCTATTATTAAAAGAATTATCTTCTTGACAATTTTCTTTAAATGGAGATCCACAATATCATAAAAGCTTGATTTCTAAATTTTTATGAAATACCATATTATAATTCTGTTCGTTCTTTTTCTGAGAAAATTAGCACATAGATTGCACCCTGCCAGTACCGCAGATAAACAATTGACCATTCCTGTTGAAATTGTGAGAATAGATAGAAGAAAAGATATATCAAATACACTGTCTGATTTTAGGAAAAGGAAGAGAAAAGAAAAAAAGGAAGATAGGGGAGGTGGTAAAACTCTCCTATATTTAACATTTGCTTTAGTGAAATGGAAAACCCTCTCAATTTTTAATCTTTTCATTTGTACTTACTTCTTTAAATAATGACCTGCATTCATATTTATGATTGTTATTGCAATATTTTGTTAAAGTTATTAAACTCAAATATTTAACAATGCAATAGGAGAATTTCCATGGGTATTTTATGGTGGTGAAACGCACAAGAAGCTTATTCAGTTATAACAGGAGAGAGCTATGAAAGGAAGGTTTATTCTCCCATTTACTTTTCCCCCATTATGGGCATTATTATACCTGTAATATAATAACACTATATTTCATGGATGGAAAAGAATGGCTGAAAGAAAAATGAATAACAAACATGCTTTGTTCTTAGAGAGGCAACTGCTCACTTTGGCTGCTGTAAACAAACTGAATGATTGGCCACTTTTGTCACTGTATGAAGTTTTTCATTTTTCTTCCCCAGCGTGGTGCTCATTTTTCTTTTTTTTAACAAGAATTTTGCCCAATACAAGGCTCAAGTACAACATTACTGAATAAGGTGTAATTTAAGGTTATGAGGATAAGAAGGATAGATATTATTGTCCCTTGACTTGAAGAAATTGATACAGCACTCTTATTATGATTTTCTCTATGCTGCAATTATTTTGTTCCAGAAATTCTGCCATGTAAGAAAGCATGTTCTGTTATTTTTATTTGAACCAGAACATTTATTTTATAAGTTGCAAAATTCTCCCTAGCATGGCAATATTTGACAGCATTTGTATTTGGTACAAAAGAGTAATTTGAGTTCCAAGTCTTAAAGAAGCCATTGTCATATCATACGTTAGATAATAATTCACAAAAATGTTAATTTTAGCATATGTTCCTGCCAATATCAAAACATTTTGAAAAATGACCAATTAAGGATGGATTGTCTGAATAGCAAAGTGGTTAGAACATTGAACAGGCTTCTTTGTGTTCAAGACACCTGACTTTTACTGCCAGGGCATTACACAGCTGGAGACACATTGGCAAAGGGTTTTGGATACCAATAGGGATTACTTTGAAGACTAATGGTATGTTAAATTTGCTGTATACCTTTATTTTCTAATAAATTAAATATGACAAGGATTTTGTCTATATTTCTGAGACGAGGTATTATGTACACTATTTACATTATTCAGACTATTGTCCTCATCTTTGTTGCCATATTTATCACAACGTTTCGGCTGAAGAAGGCCATAGCATTCAATGGCCCAAATGTTGTGATAAATATGGCAACAAAGATGAGGACAATAGTCTGAATAATGTAAGTAGTGGGCAAGGACTTTTCTGGTTACCTTGTACAATTCCAAATTCAAAACCAGCTTGAAGAGGAATAGTCTATCAAAGAACCCTAATTTTACACTTGACACACCACTTGCTGAAGCTACAGTACATTTTGAGATGACAATAATTCTACGATGGGTCAAGGGATGCTTACATACTGAATAATTCTTAATGAATTTGATCATAAATTTTATTTTATATCATCTTTATTTAATTCTGTTTCTTTCTTTTTCAGCCAAGTTATTGTTGGTAACACGCAAGGTAACATGACCAAGATAGATCTTCGTAAAGGTAAGCTGCAGCTTTTAAGATTACTGCCTAAAACTTTATATCATCCTAGTCATATTTTATTATTTTTTTTTTTTTAAGGCAGGATCAGGATTAATCTCGCACAAAGCAAAGTGGGTCCTGCCTGATAAAGGATCTCAGTTTACTTCTCCACATATACCTGACAACATATTGAGATCTATAATAATTAGAAGGAAATTTTTTAAAAGGTCGGACGCTTTTCCTGACATTATATTCAGACATTCATGGTAGTCCAAGTATAGTGAGTGTTATTATCAAGATACCATCTATAGACCTCATCCTAGCCTTATATATACAGTGTGGTACAGATAAATCCAGAAAAAATTAATGGATAATAAAAACAGTGTTTTTTATATAACAAATTAATATATTTCAATGAAATTTTATACACAGGCACATATATAAGGTACAAAAATCGACATGGCTACCATCGGTGGACATTTTATCCAGGCAGGACTGGAAGCCGGAGCAGGCTTTGGGAACGACAACTCCATCCATGTTGGCCACAACATCCTTGAAAGCATCTTTGGTGTTGTAGGGCCTACTGTTCACCTCCTTCTCTAAGACACCCCACACAAAATATTGAGAGGATTGCAATCAGTTGATGAGGGTGAGGGGACATAAGTTAGGCAACCAGTGGTATGGTGAGCAAGTGACGTCTCTTGAGCACATAACATTTATAATTCAAGACAATATGCCTGATTGTTCACCTGCAGGTGCCCATTTCCTTGGCAATTTTTCTCTTGCATTCTGGTCTGAAATTATTCTTGTCGTCTGAGGCCCCATATTTCTTTGCAAGGTCATAGACCATGGTTTTAGGGGATTTAAACCATTCAATGATTTCCTTGGCTTTATGGCTGGCAAAAGGCTCTCCACAATAGCAGCTTGACGAATTTATTCTGAAGACATGTTGATTACTAAGCATCTTGTGCATCAATGGCCAGACTCAGATGTAGTACATTTTAATGGCACCCTCAAAACCTAACTATACTGTAATGTCACAGTGCTATTGCTATGTAAAAATTCCATATTTATCTGCATCACAGTATATATATATATATATATATATATATATATATATATATATATATATATACTAGCAGCATGGCCTGGTGTTGCCCATACTTGATTCAAAAATCGTACGACTCATACAGCAATTGCTATCACTTGACTTAAAATATTTTTGCCCTTCCTTGCCTTTAAAGGAGTGCCCTTTGCCATGCTGATGTTGCTACATGCCTTACTTCTTGCCTATCTCACACTGCGAATTTTTTCTAAGCTCTATACTAAACATTAAATCTGTTACAAAAAAGAACTAAACAAATAAACACAAAACGATCAGCTTTAAAAGAAGACTCGTAACTGGAAAAACCAAATGAAAAAAGAATGTTAACAACAAATACTTTTTCACACCCAACCCGGTTCTGCGGAATCAGAATCAACGTTGAGTTTAAGCAAGCGAATTAGCCAATAGGAGTAAAGTGCCATGCAGATTTAAATTTTTCCCACTTGTAACGACTGCAGCTATCGATTTTTTTTTTTTTTTTTTTTTGCATGCTAGCATGCTAGTTAACATTGGTGTCAGCCAGCTGTTGGCTCTCACGCTGGCCAGTAGAAAATGGCCATAAACGACGTGAAAACTGCTGTAGAAGCATGAAAAAATTGATTATTTCCACTATCAATGGGAGTTGGGAAATGCAAAGTTGGTCTTGGCCTTCCCACTAACTTGGAGCATGTGCATGTAAATTTTGGTGCAAATCCGTTGAAAATTGCGGCTGTGCATTTGTTACACACACACACATCCTATGAAGATATGAGAGCTGTTTGTGGGAAAAATGCAAGCCATTTTGAAGCTGAGAAACAAAGAAAAATAGATCAGAGCTGTTGAACAAACATTGAGCATAGCCAAGACAACAATTTGGTATGTCCTGAAAAAAAAAAAAAACAACTGGTGTACTGAACAGACATAGAACATTGAAAAAGATAATAATTGATTAGTGTAATGTCAGATATCTATGACGGTTGGAGGTAGAACGAGCCAACTATTGTTGATGGTATAAAAGTTGCTGAAAGGAGATATATTCTTAAAACACTTTTTCAATAAATTACGCTTGTCAAGTTCATTGATAGTTTGAAAAAAAGTAATAATTGTTTTGCAAGGTCAGATGATTATGGTGGTTGGAGAAAAACAGACCAGCTATTGTAGATAGTCATGAGAGTACTTCTTTGTAACTGCTTGGTCTCACGCTGTCCACTAACATGAGGTGGAATAAATACATTGAATCAATACTTTCATCTACTGCAAGGAAAGTTGGTTCTCTATGTCGTGCCAGAAAGTTTTTTCTCACCTGAGTCCATCCTTCAAATCTATAAATCAACCATTTGCCCTTGCATGGAATATTGTTGTCATATATGTTCTGGAGCCCCTGCTATTTGTCTTAGGGTCCTCGACAAAATTCAGAGATGGATATGCAATGTGGTTAGCCCTGATCTGGCATCTCATTTACAGTCGCTCTCTCACAGACATGTCATCGCCTACCTCTGTCTTTTCTACAAATACTTTCACGGTAACTGCTCCGACAAACTATTTTTGCTAGTTCCCAAACTGCATGAATTCAAACTTGCCACTAGGTCAACATCTCAATCCCACCCTTTGACTGTGAAAATGGTTAAATGTAGACATCTCTTCTACTCCAATAGCTTCATGTCTTGTACTTCTTGTCTGTGGAACTCCCTTCATCTTACTTGCTTCCCTGATAACTATAATCTCCAACTATTCAAATGCAATGTCAATCAGCATCTCCAGATGCATTGATCTAATCTATTCCCCGTCCTTTTCTTCATCATCCTTTCCTCTTTCATGCTTCTTTACTCTTGCTCCCACTCTCTGTAACCCCTTGTGGCTTAGTGGCACTCCTGCCTTGCTTGGGGTGATAAGTTTTTTAAAAAAAACTATACTCTTGTGTTTTTTTTGTTTTTTTTTTTATTTGTTGCCTGCAAACTGCTTTGATCTTTGTAAAGTTATTATCCATAAATAATTTCCATTTTTGTTTATCAACTTTATTCTTCAAATAAATAAAATACAATTACATTTTATTCAATTATATATTCACCATTATTTGCAATGATGTGTTGCCATTTATGAGACAAATATGTTTTGAATAAAATTCTGCAAAGTTTGATGCGAAAAAACTTTTGACAGACTCTTGAATCTCGTCTTACACTCTAAAAAATATTTTCTGGCTTTAAATAACCTGCAAAGGGTTGATAAGCCATAGAAAATGAATCAATCAATTAAATACTGATTAGCTATACAGGTATGTCTTTTAGATTTATATACATTTGCTGGAATATGAATGTATAGAAACGACCTTGGCCACCAAGTGAGAGATCCATTTATATATTGATTGTAATATAGAATTGGTCCCCCACTTTATATCCACATTATAATTTCTTGTTTATCAAATTCTGATTAGGTATGACTATACCTCTTCTCCTCCAGCTATGAGTTAATTAGTAAGACTTGTATCACTAAACCATTATTATCTCAAAAAAATTCTTCCAATCTAAAATATTTTCTGGCTATAAATAACCCACAAAAGGTTGATAACCTGTGAAAAATGAATCAGTCATTTAATATCTTTCTCTTATTGTTACCCCAAATGTTTAGTAATTTTATCATCAACTTTGTGGTAGCATGACTTTATTTAGCCAATATTTGTTTTTGATTAAGACTTACTTCCCATATTTCCTATGTGTGCATGGCCAAGTGGTTAGAATGTTCACTTTCCAACCATGAGACCCAAGTTCAAATCTCATTATGGTCAATTTATCAGAAAGGTGACTTTTTGATGTTATCGGCCTGTGGAAGCAATCCTAGCTTGCAGCACCTTTTGAAAGTGCCTGAAAACCATACCACAGGTTGAATCAAGCCTTGTGAGTGAAATTGGATAGAAAAACTATTTGAGAGCAGTCAATGGTTGTGCTAGCATGAAGTCGCAAGTCATCATGACCGAGGGGTTGTTCAGACTGTTGATTACACCAGATAGTACACTCTTTCCCAGAAAATGTAACTAAGGTTCACTTAGCATAGCTAAACCACAGGTGAGCTCTGTGGCTGTTGAACAAATGTGCCTGAGCATGCTTCTGCAACAGGAATTTGCTAGCCACCCTAGTAGACAGGCATCCTTGGATATGAGCGGCCAGTTCTCTTATTTTCCATGGCTAATTTCATGCAAGCTATGTGGACCTTCACATTTTTTAATGATGCAGGATTGATGTCAATATTGCCTTGATGATTGTAGATAGAGATTTTAGTAATAATTTATGCTATGTCGTGGATTTGACTTTGGCAGTGATGGAAGAGAAGGGTGTTTGCACACACATATTAAAGGACATTTATTTTGTCATTAACAAATAAAACAAATACTATAGGAATTTCAAAACAACATAAAACAAAAGCCATACTGTATTATTTTATTGCTTGGAATATTTTAAAAAAAGTAGGGAAAAATATTTTTTTTAAATAATTTTTGTAGATTAGCATTCATTAAACCTCCCTTAAGCTGCAACTCTTGTCAGAATTAAAAAATATTGATTTGTTATAATTTTAGAAGGGGGGTCCGATTCATAATATCGATACAGTGTAAAATTTTCTGAAGCCTGAGATCTATATGTCACCTTCTGAAGCCTCCCATGCTTTGCTGGATGAGGTCCTGTACAACTCAACTTTGGCAAGCCTATGTGACCTTAAGGCCGTTAGGATCCATGCTGCATTTTCTCCACTTAATATAATTTTACATGTGTTATAGTGGAACACACCTATTCTATAGTTAATAGACTCCGCACCTATAATAAGTAGGAGTAGTAAGAGTAACAAGTCAGTGAGTCAGTCGGTGAGTCAGTCGATGTCGGACGACAGTTAGTCGAATACAAAAGTATCAGCGACCGATACTAGATTACTCTGCATTATACCTATTATA